ATGCCCCCAAAGTATCCAACAAGTATGGCACAGTTGAATTAGAACACTATGCAATGTTTAAAGTAATTATTGTGGACCTAACCGGTTTGGCTCAGTGGATAGAGCGTCAGCCTGTGGACTGAAGGGTGCCAGGTTCGATTCCAGTCAAGGACATGTACCTTAGTTGCGGGCACATCCCCAGTAGGGGGTGTGCAGGAGGCAGCTGATCGATGTTTCTAACTCTCTAACCCTCTCCATTCCTCTCTGTAAAAAAATCAAATAAAAAATATATATTTAAAAATCTTAAAAAAAAACAAGTAATTATTGTGGAAGAGGGAATGAGGAGTTCATTTCTGACAGTTGTAGAGTTTGTTTTGGGATGATGAACAAGTTCTGGGACCGGACAGAGGTGAAGGTTGTACAACCTGCTAAGTGCTCTTAATGCCACTGAACTGTACAACTGCAAATGGTTGAAATGATACATTTTATGTTATATATGTTTACCACAACGAGACAAGTTATGACACCATGTGGCAATACAAAGAAGGATTCAGAAGCAAAAAAAGATCCAATATGTTATGCACAAAATGAATAGCCGTGTGGCTCAGTTAGTTGGAGCATCGGTCCCATACACCAAAAGGTTGTGAGTTTGATTCTCAGTCAGGGCACCAACCTAGGTTGCAGACTCAATCCCTGGTCGGGGTATATATAGGAGGCAACCAGTCAATGTTTCTCTCTCACATCAATGTTTCTCTCTCCCCCCTGTTTCTCTCTCTCTAAAATAAATATATCCTCAGGTGAGGATAAAACATTTAAAAAATTTCTTTAAATGAAGATTCCCAGATGAAAACACTGATACATCCATTTAAGAAATGAAAGGTAAGCATAACCAATGGACATAAGACACTGGGGGGTAGGGGAGGCCAGGGAATTGTCAAGGGCGGGGGGAAAAAAAGGACACATATGTAATATCCTTTGTAATACTCTAAGCAATAAAAAAGAAAGAAAGAAAAAAGAAATGAAAGGAACATAGCAAATTAAAAACATTTATTGCAAGAGGATGATGATACTGGGTTTTATTCTTCATTCTTTACTGTAGTGACTGACCTTAATGTTTGTACAATAAAGGTCAATAAAAGGACTACTTCAGTTGTGCTGATCCATGTTTTTACCTTAAAATACGTAGACAGTGTTCAAAATAAAATCAGCATTAAGGACTCCCAATTCTTTTGAAGAACCAGTGGATTTGTCTGAAGCAAATCTAAATCTATCATCATTTGATGCCTTCCTCCCCGCCCAGCCCCCAAATGTGTCACTCACGCGGTAGGTGCAGCCTCCCTGGAAGACTGCAAAGCCTTCTCCCTGGTACAGTCCATGGACTTTTTCCCCTTCATAGCTACAGAGAAATGAGACTCAAGGTCATGACGTGAGTGACCCCAAGTGACAGTGGGTCAGATACATAATTAACATGAATGAAAAAGCACTTGTCACATTTATTCGCCCAACAAACACTCCCCGGGGGCCACCGGATGCCTGTCCCCTTCTAAAAGCCAGGCCGAGAACAGTGAACTGTGCCCAAGACTGGAAAGTTCCTGCCTCGGGAGCGTACAGTTCACTGAGGACAGACAATCAACAGGAAACACACGAACAAGGAATTCCATATCGAGTTCAGTTTTTGTGAAAGAAGTAACCAGGGGAGGAGGTTACTGTATGCAGAGTCAGGGTGGAAGCCTTTCAGAGGACGTGAGAGTTGTACTTGGACCTAAAGGATCTGAGACAAAACATCCATTAGAAGAATCCCGGGAAGAGGACCCCAGTTAGAGGGAACAGCAAGCGCAAAGGCCCTGAGGCAGGAAGGAGCCTGAGATCTCAAGTTCAGCAGAGAGGAGAGCAGCAAGCATGGACGATACCGCCCGTTAAGATCACCTTTCAATGATGAGGTTGGTCAGAATGGGGTCTTCATATTGAAGGGCATCTTCTAACACCTGATTCTCATTTCTGGACTCCCTTTTGGATCCTGGTTCACTTAGCCCCAATTGTGGGACAATGATTGGGGATACTACTTGTCTAGCAGAATTGCCATCTGGCTTGGAAAGCTCCGGATTATCAGAGAGAGATGAGGGAGAGTGGGCAGATTTATCCACTTTTTTGTCTGTTTTTTTCTTTTCTTTCACCATTGCCTTTATTTACGTGTCAAATTCCTTTGAGAGCTGTTTGTTTCAAGTCACTGATGAGCTTTACCTGAAAAAGATAAAAATGATGTCTCCAAATACTTGAGGGTTTCACTCGTAGCTGAAATGTTAGCTTTACAACCCAATGCCATTACCGTTCTAAAAGCGTGAAAAATTACAATAGGTATTACCAGTTTATAAAAATAATATAGCCTCCATATTACATTGGTTGTTCCTAAATGGTTTTTAAATTGGAACCACTGTTTACAAATAGTGTCCCAGCAAAGGATCATCCTGTCCATGAAAAACGGCTCCTTAACCTCTGGGGTCTAGCATGCTGCCAGTCCGTGCTGGAAAAGCCTGGCGGGGGGTTAAGCAATAAAAAAATATATGAAAAAAATATTAAAAAAACAAACCAAAAAAAAATAAAAATAAAAAAATAAAGAGGATTTCCAACCCCCCCAAAAAAAGCCTGTCTCCCGTGGAAAAGTGCTCAAAGCTGGATTCCTGCAAGTTACTTGATGTCCTCCCGCCTCAGATACCAAATAGGAATAACAGTACCTTGTTTCCTTGTAAAAATTAAATAAAGGGATGCACGAAACATTTCCAAAGTATGGGAAAGAGCACACAATCAGTAATGGAGGGATGATTGCACGCCCTTTTCCTGTTCTGGAACTGGAAGTCATTGGCCCCTCACTCCCTATGCCAGCACTGCCATTGACTGAGCACCCACCCCCGCTGTCAGCCAGAAACAGGGTGGCGTCAAGATGGAGCAGAGGGGTAGGCCTCCAAAACCCTAGTGTCCATGGCCTCCAAAACCGGCCCCACTGAAAGCATCCCAGTCCCGGAGTCCAAGGCACCATCCCTCCTTGTGTGCCCAGAGGATGCAGGGGGTGCCCCACGCCCTCCGCTGCCGGCAGGGCGTCCTCTGAAACTCACCTGCTAGCTCCACCCCACCTCTAGCGCTCCTACCGTCCGGTTTCTCTCCATTCAAAACCTTCCACTCGCCCTAGCCGGTTTTGCTCAGTGGTTAGAGCACCGGCCTGCCAACTGTAGGGCCAATCCCTGCAGGCTCAATGCCTGGGGGAGGGGGGGGTCGGATGGGGGAAGCACCCAATCGATGTGTCTCTCACATTGATGTTCCTCTCTCTCTGTCTCTCCCCTCCCTTCCCCTCTCTATGAACGAATAGAAAAATATCCTCAGGTGAGGAGTAACAATAGATGAATTACTCATCAAAAAAAAAAATCACTTTCAGTCTCCACCCGCACCCCATTGCTGGCTTAGCTAAGCAAGCTGCTCACATGGAACTCGGCAGGCTTCTACTATATAGGCTTTCTGGTCCCGTAACAGTGAAATCTGAACTGCAAGGCAAGTTTCCTTTCGCCTGGCGTGTTTCTCACTAACTTTTTTCTGTCCTCCCAGGCTTGACACCGCGTTCTCCTGTTTGTTCTTTGCCGCGGCAGCTTAAAGGGAGCGCGAGTTCTGAGCCCCGGAGTCCCCAAACTTCCTGCCTTTCCCTAAGGCCTCCTCGCCCACCACGCACCTGCTCAGGTCCTCGGAGGAGGCCGGTCCGTTGGGCGGTTAAGTCCGTCGCAGGGCCTGGGGCGCCGGGAGCTCTCGCGTGGCGCTCACTTGGCTCTGAACACCGGGCCCAGCCAGGTGAAGCACTGCTCCGGCGCGTCTAAGCCAGGCCGGTCTCCAGGCAACAGCAGGCCCCGCCCCACCCCATCCTTAAAGGGGCCGAGCTTCCTAGAAGCACGTGTTCTCTGCCCCCTTACTCCAGAACAGTGGTTCTCAACCTTGGCTGCACATTAGAATCACCTGGGAATCTTTTTTAAATCCTGATTTCTGGGGGCCCACCCCATAACAAAGAAACAGAATTTCCGGAGGATGTGGTCCAGAAATCAAGATTTTTAAAAAATTCCCAGGTGATTCCAATGTGCAGCCAAGGTTGAGAACCACTGCTCCTGAAGGTCAGGTGGAAATCTGGAGCTGGATGCACCTGACCTGGGTTCTCCCCGCTAATTGCCCCGTGACCTCTGTCCCCCTTCCTCTTCACCGTAACAGAATAATTAATCCAGGCGTTAGTTTTCCTTTGCGCTGTAAACAAGTTACACAAACTTGCTTAGGGGTTTAAAGCAACACAAATTTATCTTACAGTTCTGTAAGTTAGGGGTCCAACAGGGCCGGTTCCTTCTGGCAGCTGCAGGGGAGAATCTGTTTTCTCACCTCTGGAGTCTGCCTTCCTGCATCTTCCAAGTCAGCGGTTGCATCTCCCTGGCACAGCTGGGAGAGGTTCCCAGGTTTAAGTCATGGGATGGATTGGGTCACCCAACCAAGCCAAGATAGGCCCTCCATTTCTCAGCTCATTTCTTAATCACATCTACAAAGACCCATATTCAAGGGTCTGGGATTAGCACATGGCCATCTCTGAGGCCAGAAACCCCAATTTGCAGAGTTCTTGAAAATATTAAATTAGACCCTGCAGACAGGCACACCAGCCTAAGCTTGACACAATAACTGGTAATAATTATTACTTGGCTGTCTCATTACAGCGAAGAATGAATTCTAAGTTTGGGAATGGAAGCCCTCTCCCAGGAGGCCCGAGGTCTGGGCAGGGAGGGCGAGAGCAGGGGGGTGGCCTACACTCACCATTGTACACCAACCACCGCTTGGACTCCACAGACGGCATTTTTAGCTGCATTTTCGGCAGAGTTCAAATGGGATGAGGTTCCATGAAAAGCTATCTGACAAAACACAGGGATTCTTCCACCTCCAGTACCACTCGGAGCCAGTAACTGGAATATCTGGCAGCTCCCACCCCAAGGAAACCACATCACAACATTAAATTACGGCCAAATCCAAACCTTTTATTTCCCCTTGCCTACAACAGTGCCTTGCCGCCCTGGCCGCACCGGGGAACATTTAAAAATCATAACCCCAGCTCCACTGGGTCCTTTCTTCCCAGCCGGGCAGAGAACCCCCACTAGGTTTTCCAGATTATTCCTTTAAAAAAAAAAGTACGTACATCAGGGTTAAGAACTAGTGAGCCAAGAGGATCATAATTTTAAATTTATGAAATTAAACCATTGCCGACTTAATCATTAGGCTTAGCGTTGCAGCCTAAAAGATGCTGGGCCAGAGCAGAGGCCTGGACGGCTTCCAAGTGCTCTTCCCATTTCTGAAAAAACGTGCTCTTGCCTGTACACACACACACACACACACACACACACACACACACACAAATTCAGAACAAAAAACACTGCAGCAATACTCCACATGGTGCAAAAGGCTCTCCACATCACTTCTAAATGGCGCTGCTACGTGTTTGTCTTTTTAAGTAGGCTAATTTTGAAACAAAATGGTTAAACCCTGCCCTGCAAAACAGAAAAGTCCAGTCCATAAAACAAGGTCAATTTTGAGAAATGACATCCAGGTTGGCGATGTGTCTCATGGTCGGCCTGCCGTGGGGACAGTTCCAGGGATGGTCCATCTCACCCATATGGGCGATGAGTTTCTTCATCTCACTTGTGTTAAGAGCAGTTCCGATCATCACCTGAATACGAGACACAACGGTTTCAAGTTTTACTCGGTCTGGGTTAGAATAACAACTCTCCAGCCGAATTTTTCTCTAAAACAAACCTGGACAAGATCACAACTCAAAACCAACGTTCCCTGAAAAATCTTCCCCCAGACAACACTGCCTTCTAATCCCTCGGCGTCCACCTTTCTGTGACACTCCCCGCTCCCTGGCTCCTTCCCTTTCCTCAAGATGCCGTCACCTGCCCAGAAGCCAACCAGTTTCAACGGTGCCAGCACAACCTCTGTGCCGGCCACCCTCACCTGTCATCTTGGCAACTGCAGCGACCTCCTAACAGCTCCCTGCTCCCCCTCACCACACCCACCATCCTCCACTCAGCTGCCAGTGACCCCTCTGAAAGGTGTCAGAGCTCCTGGCTCTTCACCTGAATAACAGCGCAAGTGCATCACCTGACCTGGCCTTCACGCCTGCACCTGCAAGTATACAGTCTTCCCTCCCCACTGCAGCCACGCTGGCAGTGCCTGCCTCAGGACCTTGGTACTGGCTGTGCCCTCTACCGGAGGGCTCTCCTCCAATGTGGGCATGCCTCACTTCCCCACTCCCTTCAGGCTTCTGCCCTAATGCTCCTGCCTCCTCTCAGAGAGCCAGCTCTCCTCGTCTACCCCTCTGTAGCCCTCGCCTTGCCTTTGCTCCATAGCCCCTATCACTATCTGACAGACACAGGGAGATGGACGATGCCATGCCAGCAAGAAACAGAGGCCCTGGAACAAGGAGAGGTGGCGAGAGGTGACAGGCCTGAAACTGGCACAGTCCCAGGGGCAGGACATGGGGCAGCACTCTGTCACGCTGGAGGACACAGACAACAGACAAGTCACAGGAACAAGACAGCTGTCACTCAGGGGCGCTGTGCCCGAGCGCCGGGAAGAGGCCACTTCAGTCGATGCTCAGGGCCCAGGGGCAGAGGGAGCCAGGGATGTAACGCAGGGATGTGAGGCAGGGAATCCAGGCAGGGGGACGGGTCAGCACTCAGCGCTTGAGGCGGGACGGGGACCAGAGTGACTGGTCTGCAGACAAGAGCAGCACACGGGGCTGGAAGGGCAGGATGGCCGGAGCCTGCGCCTTCGGGGGGCAGAGGAAAGCCCAGGACAGTCAGCAGGTTTGGGTGCTGCCCGGAGGACAAGGGCTGCAGCTGATGGACCTGCCAGGCGGGCGTGAAGGAGCAGCCGTTGGCTCTGATCTCTGAGTCACATGAAGACGTAATTTTAAATGTCTGGCTCTCAGCACAGGCCAGTCCCAACTCTCTCACAGACTCCAGCGCTCGGTTGATAGTAGGCCTTCATCAAAGGAATCTCTGGCTGAAAGTCAGGTCCGGGGCCCTAGTCCCTGCTCTACTTAAACTCCTCTCTTGAGTGATTTCATCCAACCCCGTGGCTGTGAAGCAAACCTGACATTTTATCTCCAGCACTGACAGTTCCCCTGAGCGCAAGACTCATTAATAGGACTGTTCTAGACCCTCCACTTACCATCTAGAGCAGCGGTTCTCAACCTGTGGGTCGCGACCCCTTTGGCGGTCGAACGACCCTTTCACAGGGGTCGCCTAAGACCATCCTGCATATCAGATATTTACATTACAATTCATAACAGTAGCAACCTTACAGTTATGAAGTAGCAACGAAAATAATTTTATGGTTGGGTCACAACATGAGGAACTGTATTTAAAGGGCCAGAAGGTTGAGAACCACTGATAGAGGAATCCCAATTATAACACATCTAAACTGAACTCTTAATCCCACTCATGCCCCAAATGTAAAAAGCTGCTGTTTTCCCCACCACCCTTATTTCTGGCACCCCCTAGGCCAGTGATGGCGAACCTATGACACGCGTGTCAGAGGTGACACGCGAACTCATTTTTTTGGTTGATTTTTTTTTGTTAAATGGCATTTAAATATGTAAAATAAATATCAAAAATATAAGTCTTTGTTATCTGTGGTTGCAAATATCAAAAAATTTCTATATGTGACACGGCACCAGAGTTAAGTTAGGGTTTTTCAAAATGCTGACACGCCGAGCTCAAAAGGTTCAGCATCACTGCCCTCATCTGTTCTCAGCCAGGACAACCCTCCAGGGGCTCCCAACACACGCAGCACCAACTCTCAGGTTTGACCAGGACCAGCAAGACCCGCTGTGGGTCCATGGCTGCTGGGCTTCTCTCGTCCTAGTCCCCTGCTCGGTCACTCGGATCAGCCCCCAGCTTTGCTCAAACCCCCGGAGCCTTCACACTCGCCATTTCTTCTGTTTGGAAGGTTCTGACCCAATGGGCTCCCTCTCATCTTCTAAGGTCAGCTCAGATGTCATCTCCTCCGACGGCCTTTCCCTGCTCCCCACCTCTACTGTTCACCTCAATTTTTTGTGGGCATTCCCTGTCCCAATACTGTTGTAGTTTCCTTACTGAACTTACTGGTATGTGAAGCTGGCTTTGCCATGTCTATTTCTCCCCACTAAGCTATGAGCTCCACAAGGACGAGGACCTCATCTGCACTGTGGCTCTGTGGCCGTCACAGCCACACGCACCTGGCACAGGGTGGGCCACACAGCAGGGGCTCCAGGGGTATATGTTGAAGGAATGGCGTCCTGGCCTTTCCAATGGGCCAGGAGATAGAGATTCACTTATGTTACCTGGACACCAGGCTGACAACCACTGCTCCCCTCTCCAGCGCCTGCACAGTGAGTTAATGTGCAATGCTTCACGGTGCCCTGTGAAATGCGTGCTGACTTCACGGCACCCTATGAACGACTCGGTGCGACCTGCGCAGTGTTGTGCAGGCAGGGCAGCAGCAGCTCTCTATCTACCAACGTTGTTAATATCCACATGGTCCACAGACAGACAACATGCATGGACAGCTAACTGCACTGGGATCAACGAACCTCTGAGAGAGAATACGCTTAATGGAAGTAGAGAAAAAGCAGCAATGATGGGGTAGAGTCAAAGAGAACACAGACATGTGGAGATGGCATGTCAGGTTGACAGAGCAATGAGGCTCTATCTGTACAATGACCTGTGGCCGTCACAGCCACACACACAATGCTGACTGCCCAGCAGCTAAGCTGAGGACTTCTGGGGACTAGAGTGAGCAGACCCTGGGGTCCTGGCAGGGGAGCTTCCTTTACTTACAGACTTGCGACAGGCCCTGGAGGCGAACATCTGCCTGACGCGGGAAGGCCGGCACATAACCCCAGGGCTGTCACTCAGCATGAAGATCAGCTCATCAATGTCCTGGGGTCCGAAGGTCCAGTTTTTACTAGTTGGCAAGGAAATCAATTTAGCCCTTTCAGTGATGGGAGCTAAAAGAATAAAATTTGAAGAAAAAATATCATTAGTTGAAAAATGTGTTTCGTTTGAGTCCTACCTGTACTAGGTATCTGACAGTGAGGGCAACCATCTTCACTGCTTATAAAATACATGGATCTCTGTGACCTCAAAGATTGGTCCCAGCTCAAAAAGGGCACAGTTCTACAGTCTTAAGTAATAACTCACCGCTTTCATCGATAACAAAATCAAAACCATTCTTCCTGAAGATTTCCAGATTTTCTATCAGGACGGCTTCATTGACAGCAGTTAAGTTGAGAGTCTGGGGTCTGAAAGACAAAGGAGAGAGTCAAACCATATCTTCAAGTCAAATATGCAGGTATAACGCAGAAATGAAATTAAAACAATACTGTGAGCTCTTGAATCCATTTCAAAAAGCAGCGGGAATAGTAACACTTCATTGATCTATATGCCTTTCCTGTCACAGAACTTTCTGAGAATTTCCTTTTAATTTATTTTTTTAAGTTCATTTCAAGAGTTAAAGTATAAAAGTAAGTTGCTTTTCATGAATCTGCCATCCACCTGTCTTCTTCTGAATCCTCTCCTGGGGACTAGAGTGAGCAGACCCGGTAAGAAAGCGCAGACCCAGTCTCTGCCCTCGTGGAGTAACAGTTTAGTGGGGAAGAAAGGCATTGATCAAACAATCAAATTACAACTACAACTACACCGGGAATCAGGAAGAAGACACACGGTGTCCGAGGAGCAGAAAGTAAGCGAGACTTGACCTGGAAAGAGAGGGGGTCAGGGAAGGATTCTCTAAGAAAATTTTACAAAGTAGCTTATTAAAGGTCCCTCCATTGCCATTCACTTCTGCTGAAAACAACACAATCAGTGCATCCCACAGGAAAGAGAGCACTCCTCATGTTGTAAGGAAACCTGTGCTTTCCCCGCTCAGTGACTGCTTCATTGTACATTTCTTCATGCCGGGATCTACTTCTGCTTAATCTGAGTTTATTTTGTATTTTAATTTCTCAAGTGAAAATCCATGCCCTCTTCTTATAATTTTGCTTAAGAAAAGACTTCTGGCCCCGCCAGTATGGCTCAGTGGTTGAGCACTGACTCATGGACCAGGAGGTCATAGTTTGATTCCCGAGCAGGGCACATGCCCGGGTTGCAGGCTCGATCCCCAATGAAGGGCCTGCAGGAGGCAGCTGATTAATGATTCTCATCATTAATGTTAGAAGATTGATGTTCTATCCCTCTCTCCCTCTCCTTTCTTCTGAAATCAATAAACATTTAAAAAGAAAGGAAAATACTTCTTGTTTACATGGTATACCATCACACCACCACATGGTCAGTTGCCAACATTCAATCTGGCAAAGGACAGGGAAATACAGAATCTGCGGTGACTATCTAGCCATTGGAACTGTCTATGGTAGCTGAGGACTGACACGCAGGCAATGCTGCCCTGAACACGCACATTCCATGTGCTATACAGATGTACTAAGTACTAAAAGTTGCCTTTCATCAGAAGGGTTTTCTGGCCAACCAGTGACGGACATTTTTCGATGGCGAAAATGTTGGGTACTTGTAAGAACACAGCTGTGTGGCCTTGAGCACATTACTAAACCTCTATGTGAAATGGCGATTGTAACAGTGACTACCTCATAGTTTGTGAGAATTAAGTAAATTAATACATGCCTTCAACAATGCCTGGCATATCCTAAGCACTCAGTAAATGGCAGGTATGACTATTATTATGTAAAAAGTATAGGGATGCTCATGGCAAATCTATGTGTACATACAGAGGCACACGTGTAAGCTATTAGATCTGACAGGCGGGAGGGGAAACGACCCTGAAAATCCAGAACCTGATGTGAACCTGCCTGATCAGCCTCTGGCCCTGCAGCGCGGTGTGCTGCTGGAGCATCTCGAAGTTGTACTTCTCATCCGTGGCGTGCTGGTCCACGATGAAGAGGTCCGCGTCCAGTTTGGTGATGATAAACCCCAAGTTAAACTGACCGATGACTTCCATCTCTGCAAACATTGTTTTACTGCATGGAGAAAACATTAATTGTGAGACACTTTTAAAGATTATTTTTCTGATGAAAAAAAATCAAGAACCACAGTAACAGGTGATCAACAAGTGCTTGTTGAATTACTTAAAACCTCTGCTTTTAAAATCGCAGTTAACTTCACTTTTCGAGGGCTGACAGAATGCAAAGGTAAAGGACAAGCAGTTTTCACTCGGGCACCTGACGTGTGCGTCCCTATCCAGCACACCTGCTGTGACTGTGTGTGAGTGCACCTGCACCTGAAAGAACCTGGCTCTCTTCACTGCATCCGAGTTCAGTCTCACCAGATGACATGCAAAGTTCACCCCACTTAATTACACACACCCCAATTAATTACACACTGCTGAAAGGAAATATTTCTTGAAGACCTTTCTCAATGTAAGCTAGGCACTATGAATAGCGAAGAAATTACATAACATAAAAGTCTTGAAGAATTTATACTCTAGCCCAGCTGTGGCTCAGTGGTTGAACGTCAACCTATGAACCAGGAGGTCACAGTTCGATTTTGGGTCAGGGCACATGACTGGGTTGCGGGCTCGACCCCCAGTGGGGGTGGGGGGTGCAGGAGGCAACCAATCAATGATCCTCTCTCCCTCTCCCTTCCTCTCTGAAATAAAAATATATATATTAAAAACAGAAAGAATCTATACTCTAAATCAGGCAAAGCCTGTGTGGGCCACACTAAAAGTGCCACAAAAGTCCAGTGTCATTACCCAGCTGCACTGTGTTCAGTCAACCGCAAGGCAAAGTTTAAAAAGACAAAAGTTAAGCCCTAGCCAGTTTGGCTCAGTGGATGGAGCACCGGCCTGCGATCTTGAGGGTCCCGGGTTCGATTCTGGCCAAGGGCATGTACCTTGGTTGCGGGCACATACCCAGTGGGGAGTGTGCAGGAGGCAGCTGATCAATGTTTCTCTCTCATCGATGTTTCTAACTCTCTATCTCTCTCCCTTCCTCTCTGTAAAAAATCAGTAAAATATATTTTTTTTAAAAAGAAAAAGTTAAGAATTTCAGAATTCAACATTTTAACAAGTCACAATGTTGTACATGATTACTGACTGAAAAAGGGGGCAGTATTTTCTAATATCTGTATTACTAATATTTTTCTTTAAATTGACTCCTTTTCCGTAGCCTTATCAGGAATGATCTTCTTAAAACCACAGGTTTGACAAAGTGTTCTACTTTTCCCTAATACACACTGAAATGGAAAAGAGCAATACCCACCAAAAGTGGATGAATTCCTTACAGCGGAAAAAAGTCGCTGTGGGCTGAAAACCTTGAGGAAGAGGAATGAAATCAGGATCAAGGCATCCACTAACTTGGACAGACAGACAGGAAATGCTAAGGAAATCCAAGGGGAAAATTCTTGCACGGTTTTGGGCAGCAGAAAGAGTTCTTTATAGCAAATGTATCTGCTGGATGTGCGAGGCAGTGAAAAGAAGCTGGGGAATGGAGGAAGCCTTGCCAGGGATGCACTGGTACGGATAACGGCCGCTTTGTAGAATCAAACTGGCTCCAAATTTAGAATCTTCTAGAGCAGTGGTTCTCAACCTTCCTGATGCCACAACCCTTTAATTCAGTTCCTCATGTTGTGGTGACCCCAACCATAAAATTATTTTCGATGCTACTTCATAATTGTAATTTTGCTACTGTTATGATGGTCATGTAAATATCTGATATGCAGGATGTGTTTTCAGTTACAAATTGAACATAATTAAAGCATAGTGACTAATCACAAAAACAATATGTAATTATATATGTGCTTTCCGATGGTCTTAGGCGACCCCTGTGAAAGGGTCGTTCAACCCACCAAGGGGTCGCGACCCAGAGGTTGAGAACCGCTGTTCTAGAGGGAGGGAGAAAGAGAGGAAAGTGGGGCAAGTCTGAGGATCTGAGATACAAGTCTGTGGTGCACGGAAGACCCCAGGGAGGACCACCCTGATGGGCAGCAGGAGCCAGAGGCCCAGGCGCTGGTGCCAAGGCAGAGCCACCCCAGGCCGGACCCAGAAGAGATGCCCTCACAGCAGAGCACGGAACACCCAGAGGAGCAAAAGCTGACTCTGGAAGGATCGGCCTTTGCCTCACACACACACCAATGAGCAAAGGTGCTCTCAGGGAAAACCTTTACCTTATCTCCTTCCTTAGTTCCTCTTCTGCTGCTTGATTTTCTCCAGGACAAATCTTTGCCCGGAACCTCCTGTAGTTCTGCTCGCCTCTGCGCTGCTCTTGGTGATGTAACTGCTTCACGCGTGTAGTTAAAGAACTCAGGGAAAAGTCCAGGGGCACGATCTTCTTGTTAATTTTAACAGCGACGTCAACCTGAGACACCGGCATGTTCTGTGTATTAACCGATTTCTGAGGGATGTCAGAACTTAAGGGAATTCCTTCTTTTTTTAAACGCTTGCTGTTTGAGAGATTAGTTGGCTGAGGCCACATTCTAAATTTACATCCACTGTCTTCTGGGTCTAAATGGCATTCCATGTCTGAAAAACGACGCCCAGTTTCAGGCAACGTCTCGCACGACTCCATCTTTTCTTGTGAAGACCTGTCTTCCGGGGAGCTGGCTGCTCGGTCACTGCTGGAGTGACTGCCCATGTCCGGGGTGCTGGACCCCTCCTCTGAGCCTGCGGAGGTACTGCCATGCCCTGAGTCCCTTTCCGCCTCCACTCTGTCCTCTTCCGGACTCATCCCCCCTCCTGGAGGGCCGGACCAGCCTGCGCCTGAGCAGGGCGTCTGGGGGCAGAGGGCATCCGAAGGCCTGGAAGACGGCACGCTTCTCTTCTGTCTCGGAGAAACCTGCCTGTTCTGAGGCCTGTTCTCTGCTGAGTGACGAAGAGAAAAGGCCTCCCGCAGCCTGGAAATGGTCACCGCCCTTCTCTCTTCTCCTGGCGTCCCTAGCGAAGCGGGACTCCCCTGCTTCTCGGGCACAGGCTTTCCCGTCTCTGCCCAGTGCGGTTTCAGTGAGTGGCCTAGGCAGAGAGGGACAGAGGGGAGTGTCAGGAATAAGAGGAACACCGCCACAAAAGAGCAGACACAAATTGAGAAAGCATTAACCACAAAGAGACAACTGAAAACCTCACATGACACCCAGGTCTGCTCACCAGAATGGGTAGAATGAAAACACAAGCATTCACGCGGCAAGGATGGAATGGGGTGCGTCCACATGGCTGGTGGGAGTGAGGCGGACACACTGCTGTGTAAAGCGCTCTGGGAGAGTCCCCTAAACCTAAACACACGCTTGCCTGGGACCCAGCCTCGCCTCTCCCGTCAGAAACACTTGCCTACACTGGACAAAGCCATGGGTGAGGGTATCCACCACAGCTTTGTTCATTATAGCCCCAAACTGGAAACTACCTAACTGTAAGGGCCTCCAAAAACTCCCTCCTCCCTCAAAGGAATGAGAAAATGGGCAAAAACTGTCAAGATCAACTTTCTCAGAGCTCTGAAAATGAAAAGGCTTGCACAGCATTCAGCTGAGTTCTGGTAAGAACACATCCCTGTGCACTAATGATGATTCATGTTCTTTCTTTCTTTCTTTTTTCTTTTAGAGAGAGAGAAAGGGAGAGAGAAATATCAATTTGTTGCTCTACACATTCACGAATTCATTGGTTGCCTCCTGTATGTGCCCTGACCAGGGATCAAACTCGCAACCTTGGCATTTGGGGACAGCACTCCAACCAACTGAGCTACCTGGCCAGGGTGCTCCTGTTCTTTTTAAACAGATTACTTTCTGGAGAGACACATCTTTTCTATCTAGAAGTCCTAGGAGACTTTATTTCATGTCAAAAGAGACTAAGGAAAGTATCACAACAGCTATGTTTTAGAAGCTGTTGACATGTTGCAGTTTTTTACCTTCAATATCCAGCAGCGGCTGCTGACTGATGTTCAGTTTGCTGACATCACTATCGAACATTCCTATCAAAGATGTCTTTAAAACTGCCAACAGAAGCTTCTCGTCTTGTAGGAAAATTTGCCTTTTATCTGGAGTAACATTGATATCAACACATCCTAAGGCAAAAAAAAGAAAAGACACTTACTGTGTTTAAATTCACCTATAACAACAGAAATTCCCCTACCTACAATTTTATTCACTTGTACTGACCAAATGTACTATTAAAGACATTAGTGTCCAAATTATTATTCATAAACTATAAAATTAGGTCCTTCAAATAAACAAGGAAAAGATGAACAATTTTCTAAATAGCAAAATATATGCAAAGATTTCAATGGGTAAATTGCATAAGAAAAAGAATAAGCAGGTGAAAATTCTAAATAATAAAAGCCTAATATGCTAAGTGTCTGGTCATCTGTTCAACCAATCAAAGCGTACTATGCTAATGATATCCTAAGGCCACTCAACTGCTTGCTATAACGTACACTGACCACTAAGGGGCAGACAGTCAACTGGTCAACCAGTCACTATGATGTGCACTGACCACCAGGGGGCAGGCACTCCAACCGGTAGGTTAGCTTGCTGCTGGAGTCTGGCCAATCGGAGACGGGCTGGACACACCCTGGAGCCCTCCCTGGTTCCTCCCCAGCTGGTTAACCTCCTATATCCCTCTCTGGCCCAGGTCCTTCCCTGGCCCCGATTGTACCCCGATGGGTCCCTTGGCCTGGCCTGTGCCCTCTCGCAACCCGGGATGACTCAGGGGATGTTGGAGAGCTGGCCCCTGGTGGTCAGTGCATTCCCACACGGGGAACGCTGCTCAGCCAGAAGCTGGGCTTATGACTGGCGAGCGCAGTGGCGGTGGTGGAAGCTTCTCCCGCCTCCACGGCAGCGCTAAGGATGTCCGACTGATGGCTTATTTGGACACATCCCCCCGAGGGCTACCGGACTGTGAGGATACAGGCCTGGCTGAGGGCACCCCTTCCACCCACCTCCTCCCCTGAGTGCATGAATTTCATGCTCCAGGCCTCTAGTGTATAATAAAACTGCAAACTAAAGGAAGATATCACTTTATCACCAACAAAATTTGGTTAAAAAGTGTAATACCTGTCGAAACCAGTTTGGCTCAGTGGATAGAGCGTCAGCCTGCGGACCGGAAGGTCCCAGGTTCGATTCCGGTCAAGGGCATGTACCTTGGTTGCGGGCATATCCCCAGTGGGAAATGTGCAGGAGGCAGCTGATCGATGTTCCTCTCTCATCGATGTTTCTAACTCTCTATCTCTCTCCCTTCCTCTCTGTAAAAAATCAATAAAAAATATATATTTTTTTAAAAAAGTGTAATACCTAATATATTGTTGGTAGATGTGTAAATTGGTATATCACAATCATTTCCACTAGTGTAGTCATTCTAATTCTAGGAATTTATCTAAAGGGAATAATCAAATATACAGATAATGATTTAATTATAAGGACAGTATTTAAATTTCCAAAAACTGAAATAAACAAGTTTAAAATGAAGATCTGTCCATACACTGGAATATAATAAATGTAGCTATTAAAATCATGTTTCTGAATAATTTTTAATGACATAGTGAAGAAAATATTTATATCTAAGGACAAAGAGTACTACACAAAATTACACAAAATTCTTTTCTCACCCCAAAGTATATGGATAGATACAGAGGTCATTACAAATTTTTAAGGTGTACACATATGTATTTTCTAAGTACCTAGAAAAAATACTGGATAGCAATAAACCAGAATTTTTAAAATCATAAGAAAAATATTAAATAAATTAATTTCTAAGTCAGGGAGAACCTTCTCCCTTTGTTGACATGAAAAAGGCACATTTTTCTAATAATACAATTAACACAGCTTCAAGTAGAAAGCAGGAAAATCTGTATTAAAAATGTAACAAATAAGAGTCTGTAAAATAAAACTGAAGGCCTATTAAAAAAACAAAAGGCCCTAGCCGGTTTGGCTCAGTGGATAGAGCATCGGCCTGCAGAGTGAAGGGTCCCAGGTTCGATTCTAGTCAAGGGCACATGCCTGGTTTGCAGGCTCCATCCCCATCCCCAATTCTCTCTCATCATCGATGTTTCTAACTCTCTCTCCCTCTCCTTCCTTCTCTGAAATCAATAAAAATAAAAATATATTTTAAAAAAACACATGGCCATTAACTGTTACTGTAAGAGTCTGTTTCCAGTCATAGCAGAGCTTTATACGTTCACTGTATTATTTTAGGGTAAGTCACCAATTTTACTGAAACGTGAGTGGAGCTTACCTGAATCAACAGAAACATTAAGAACAACAAATGGGTACTGATGTCGATTATACATGTGATAGACCTCGTTCACCAGTCTGGACACCTACAAACAAAACAACGATGTAAGTGTCCCTTTCCCCAGGGTTCTAACAACATGCTGTTCTAACCCACCACTAAACGGATACATTTTTAACAGCTTTCGTGAGGTGTAATTGGCCTGCAATAAGTTACACATATTTAAAGTATACAATCAAGATAATGAATACATCCATCACCCAAAAATGATTCCTTGTGCCCCTACATCATAGATCCCTAAGACTGAATCTTTTTCCAATCTAAAGATGCTCTTGAAGAAATGCCAGACATTGCAAGTGCAGTTTAAATACTCATAAAACACATTCCAATGGACACAGAAATGTATCTGTATGACTTAAAAAAAACTTGCACAAAAAAAATGTATACCTTTGCTGGGTCACATGGCCGCCAATTGATAAAAAAGAACTGTCTGTCCGTTGAACTCCGTCCAACACCATGAGTACAGTGAGAGATGAAACCCGAGATACTGTTCAGTGTGAACAAGGGCAGGAGGCCAGAGTGAAAAGGATTAGAAACGCGTAGAATACAGCACATTCTTCGAGTAGAAAAGAAATCAAAACATAACACCCGGTGGCCTGCAACTAAGTACTAACATTTCAGTTAATGTGCATCTGTGTTCCATTCCAGTGAGTCATAAGAAGGACACGGACCTTCTAGAAGGCTCTAACGCTCCGGTAGAGCAAATCCACCACAGGCAATGGCTCGGGTTCAAAACGATTTGCTTCTGCTCTCCTCTCACCTTCCCTATTAAATCCTGGGCCCCCACACAAGGAGTGGGTCCTCACTGCAAACTCACATTCCAGAACCTTCATGCTGCCCCCACCGGCTAGCCAGGGAATCCGACCATTTGTCACCAGGATCTCTGCCCACATTCCCTGCCCTTTTAAAATCTGCTCTGTTAGCTAAGTTGTATCTACCGAGGTGCTGGTTAGGTGCTTATTCCACCTGAGATCAACCTCAGGAATATTTGCATTTCCGTTAGAATGATGCCTTAACATAAATTAATCCCGTCTTTAATTCCAGGCATAGGCCAAAGGCAAGTGGAGGGAGAGTAAGCAATACATGCCCCACAGGCCCAGTCTTGCTTATGAAAAATGTCTATTTTTCTTCCGTTAAAAGTAATGATGCTAGCCAGAACCGGTTTGGCTCAGTGGATAGAGCGTCAGCCTGCGGACTCACGGGTCCCGGGTTCGATTCCGGTCAAGGGCATGTACCTTGGTTATGGGCACATCCCCAGTGGGGGGCATGCAGGAGGCAGCTGATCGATGTTTCTCTCTCATCGATGTTTCTGGCTCTCTATCCCTCTCCCTTCCCCTCTGTAAAATATCAATAAAATATATTTTTTTAAAAAAAGTAATGATGCTGGACTGGACTTCGGGTAAGGCATGAATTAAAGGAAACACAGCCTCCACTGCTCTCTGCCAGATCCCAATAAAGTAAAACATTATACACAAAATAGTTTATTTTAATTTTTCTAATTGTTCACTAAACGTAACCTTTGCTACAAAGACTAATTCAATAGAAAACCCCTAAAACACATCAATTACCCAGAATATTGTTTGAATTAAGTGACTGACTCCTTCGTATTCATCTCTTTCTCAGCAGTAACACTACTTACAGGCTTACAATGGACAAAAGAAACTAAAAGCCTTAAAATCACTATCTTTAAAAAGAAAAAAACTAAAGAAAAAAAAATACCTGATTGCTGTTTTCCTGGAGGCAATCTACTCACCAAAACTGATTCTGCAGAGCATCTGAGCAGCTGAGCCCGAACTCTTCACAGACGCTGTCACTAGGGGGCAGCTGCACAAAAGGAATGAGGCTCTGCAACTAGAAGAAACCAGGACTCAGTGATCTCCTAACGGACAGAAGGGACCTAACTGCAGAGAGGAAGACGTGAGGGTTCTTGTGTTTTCTTTCCTAGTCAACTAACCTCAGTAGGAGCAAAAGGAATTTCGACAGCTGCTTTTTGCATTATATTAATTTTTATTTTTCTCTAGAAAGATGAAATACTTAGCTCCTGCTTATCCATAATCAACATATTGCCCATAATACTTGATATTTTTTCAGACAGAGAGTAAAAGTATTATTTTATTCTCTACCAGAGTGAAGCAAAACTCACAGAATTCAACATTAATTTTTGTGACAGATACCCAAAATATCAGTTCTCAGATTTTATTCTCCATTCTATCGTAAAGGACAACAGGAACCTGCCTTAATCACTGGAGCAGTAAGAAATACCTGTTTCTGTCCAAATACAGATCCAATATTGTCTCTTATGCTGGAGCTTCCGCTTGTGCCCACCACAGGCTGTCGTTTTCCTTGTCCCACCTGATTGGTGCAACTTACACGGACGCCCGAGGAAATGATACAGTACGCGTGGAGGACGTGGACCATTTTGGCAAATTCCTGTTTAAAAAGCACAGGCAAAAGACTTCATACGAGAACAAGTAGAGAGGAAAGCGTTCTAGCAGATCTTCTGCTGTGGTGTTCCTAAGTCTCAATGCTTCAGGGTTCTGAACTGACCGCACCTTTTTAATATTCCTTTGAAACTCCTTATGGCGCACAGGCAGCGTGTAAAACAGCTGCTGGACACTGACTGTCGTCCCTCTGGGCCGTGGGAATGGGGTTTTCTGGGTAATTTTCCCATTGTGATCGAACACCAGTCGAGTCCCAACCTTCGCAGACGAGTGGCAGGTAGAAATGGTGACGTCACTGGAAGAGAATGCCAGGGGTGGCCGGGTCAGTCAGATCAGGTGCTAGCGATCAGGACCTCACACGCTCACGTTCTCACTTCTGTTCTCTCAAGACTAAGAGATGATGAACCCTCTGAGATAATCAAGAGAGTTCAAATGGGTGAGGGATCATCATAAAATCTAAGGTATGACAGAGTTCTGAAAATGCTTTTTGTTGATTTTTGGTAAAAATATGTTTTTATTGATTTCAGAGAGAAAGGGAGAAGGAGAGATAGAAACCGTGATGAGGGAATTACTGATCAGCTGCCAGCTGCGTACTCCCCACACTGGGGATTGAGTCTGCAACCCGGGCATGAACCCTGACCGTAATCAAACCATGACCTCCTGATTCATAGGTCAATGCCCAACCACTAAGCCACACCAGCCAGCTGTAAATGCTTTGTTTTGATAAAAACTTTGAAATTTGTTTAAACTGCAAAAGAGTAAAAGATCTCAAAACTTATATATTCACAAATAAACATTTCTTTCTGATTTGTTACTAGTGTTCTAACAAAAATTTTTAAAAGGATACAAAAGATATTATAGTTCAAAAATTGAAGTTAAAACCAATAGCATCTATAATTTATTACCTCTGTTATTTTAAAATTGAGAAGTCAGCCCTACCTGGTTTGGCTCACTGGATAGAGCGTCGGCCTGTGGACAACAATTCTGGTCAAGAGTACATGCCCGGGTTGCGGGCTCGATCCCCAGCGGGGGCGCGTGCAAGAGGCAGCCAATCAATGATTCTCTCTCATCATTGATGTTTCTATCTCTCTCTCCCTCTCCTTTCCTCTCTGAAATCAATAAAAAATATATTTTTTAAAAAACTGAGAAGTCACTGCTTGACTAAGGGTAACAATTTTTTTACAATACTATATGCTTCATTTCATTCATTCATTGCTTACATTTGAGAGGCATTATCACTTAGCTTGATAGTAAGATAAAACAGAATGCAGAAGTGAAAAGTTGAGACACTCAAGACAAAGAGGTGTAAATAATAATGATTCTAATTATGCTTTTTAATATTCAGAAAGATTTTTTACAAACAGTCAAGTTAGTAGATAAAAATGTTGCATCACCTCAGTGCACAAAGTGAGCTCAGAGCTTCCCCCCGAAAGCCAAAAGTTTCAACCTGAGTTAGGTCAGCAAACTCTTGAATCTTAGAAGTGTGATGTTTCAGAGCTGGAAGAGAGGTGCAAAGTGAGGCTCAGGATACCTGAAGGGGTATAGCAATGAGCATACACAATGCCCACCAAAGTAACGGGCTTTGACAAGCTGTTTTACTGATTACTCAACATTCTGAAATATTTTGCCCACATATTTTAAAATAGGGTTAGAAAAATTCAACTTACTTAAGCCTTCAAAGTTTTCTTCTTCTACCCCACATCCATTGTCTGAAACTTCAATGAGATCCACCCCATAGTCTTTAAGCCTTAGATCTAAGGATAAAAAATTTTTCAAAGAATTGATCCATGTAAAAGCCTTATATTGACAGTATTTATAACATACATATGCAAATTTGAGTCATAACTGCACCTATTTAAATGTATTATTGTCATTTTATTTTTTAAAGTCCTTCTTTGCTATTTACTAGCACTAATAAAATAGTTTTGTTTTTATTTTTTCCTTTCTTTTCTCTCTTTAAAAAGAATAATTTTTTTATAGAAGTAATTTTTTAAAAATATATTTTATTGATTTTTTACAGAGAGGAAGGGAGAGGGATAGAGAGTTAGAAACTTCGATGAGAAACATCGATCAGCTGCCTCCTGCACAACCCCCACTGGGGATGTGCCCGCAAACAAGGTCCATGCCCTTGACCGGAATCAAACCTGGGACCTTTCAGTCCACAGGCCAACGCTCTATCCACAGAGCCAAACCAGTTAGGGCTAAAAAGAGTAATTTTAACATACTCATTAAAGAAAACGGGCTTTGGAATCAGACTTCCTGGGGTCATATTTTACTAGCTTTATAACCTAAAAAAAAAAAAAAAAGTAAATTCCCTGCACCTTAACTTCCTCCTTTTGTTAAATAAAGATAGTAGTAACAATAGTAATAATTCCTATCTCATAAGATTATTCTGCAGATTAAATAAGGTATCCCATCCACAGTTCTTAACACAATGTCTGCCTAGCACATAGCAAGAACACAATAAAAGTTAACTGCTATTATGATTACTACCTAGCACACAGTAATTTACTTTATTAACTAACTTGAAGTTAAAAGTATAATTGAGTGTCTTATGACAGTAACAAATGTTACATGAATAAAACAGCATAAGCTGGCTATTTCTTGTGACTTAAGTCTCCCAAACTTACCAATATTAGTGGCACCGGCATCCACGCTATTTTCCACCAACTCCTTCACGGCAGAACTTAGACTCAGGACCACTTGCCCAGAACAAATCTGATGGACCGACCTCCGATCGATAGGCTTGATGACCTTAGCGAGTTCTGTACTAAAGGAACCAGTTACAAGAAACAAGGCAAGGGTGCATTTATATACTTTCCATCCCGGTTTCAACGGTAGGAAGTGATTCATCTCTGTTAATAGTTAACGGGGGTAACATGTTCATTTATTATACAAACATATGCATTTACTACATTCACAAATACTAAATGCTGTTCTACAATTCTGAAACATTTGCCAAAAAAATCCCTCTTAGATGCTACAAATGCAATAGAAATCTAAAAATCTAATGATACCGGGATCTACATGGGGGAGACACATGTGCCCCTCAATCTATGGGTCAATGCGTCAATAATTTCTTGCAAGGATGGGATCTTTTTTCTTGAGAAGAGAAAGCAACACTTCTAACACAATTTGCAAAACCAAGAGCATGATGGGAAATACAAAGTGCTTATGTCAAAACCAAAGCCATCTGAGAACCTGAGTGGGTGCCGGTTGTAAAACTGTTCCCATGGCTGCCTTTGAATCCCGACTCCCAGTCCAGGCTGCCAGCTGCTGCCCTAAAGGCCCTCAAAGTTCTGGCTCTATCTGCTTTATTTTTTAATCCTCACCGGAGGATATTTTTCCATGATTTTTTCGAGAGTGGAAAGAGAGAGGAAAAAAAAAATCCAACTTAGAGGCACATCGATCGGTTGCCTCCCATATGCCCCGACCAGGGCTGGGAGCCTGCAACCGAGGTACGTGCCCTTGACGACGGGAATCGAACCCCGGACCCTTCGGTCCGCAGGCCGACGCTCCACCCACTGAGCCCACCCGGCTAGGGCTGCACCTGCTGTTAGCGTTTTCCAACCCTGTTCGTCTCCACTTCCTCCCGACTCCAACCCATCCTCCGGGCTACCACCACCGCTCCTTTAGAAAGCACCCGTCTGGTCAAAGTTTCTGCTGAAAAACTTAGCCTGCTGCATGGAGTGTAACGTGTAGTCGCAACCGAACCCGGCCTACTCCACCGGCCCCTTCTCTCCAGGCCTCCCTTCCACGAGACCCCTCCATGGTGCTCACTGCTCCCGGTCTCTTCGGCCTCTGTCTAGACGGCGCCCCTCACCCTTTCCCTCTCCCTCTCCTGCCTGGCAAACCCCAAGAACGCATTCCACATGTGCATGAACCCCACAATTCCTCGTCAACGGGGTGGTAACTTGGGTGAAACAGGACACAGGAAGGAGCCACAGGCCTCCGGTCCATTTCTGATACTGACTCTGGGGGGTGGGGGCCAAACACTGAAACACGGCGAACCTGGGTTCGGGGATCTGACACTGAACGCAGAGAACCCGCCGAAGGAAGGTTCGCAACCCCGAATTCGGTGTGGCCTGCCAGCCAGTGATCGCATTCTAAGCAGAGAGAGAGGTTCTGCATTTTTTAAACGGCGGCCATGCAAATCAGCAGGTCCCTTGAAGCCTCCTCCAAATAACCTCAATTTTTTTATTTTTGCCCCAAAAGGAGAGAAACCTTCAGGCCCTCGGACTTCAGGCCCGACTTCACGTCCATGGACGTGTGGCGGCGTCTGGGTTCAGCCGGCCTGGGCGCGGGCCGATCCCCCACCGACCCGGCCGCACCGGGCTCGCGAGGTGGCAGCGGTGAGCGGAGCGCTGAGGAGCCCTCTCCGGGGCCTGCTGGCCGGCAGGATCCCCACACGCCCTGGGCACTTCCCCCTCCTTTGCAGGAACGCCGTCCGCCTTAAAAAGGACGAAGGACGACGGCGAGGGGAGATTGCAAGCACCGCTCACCTCAGCGCTTCGGCTCGTTCCATAGATGCGGAGCCTGACGCGCTCTGGGATTCGCGACAGTTCCTAACCCCGCTCCCACGGGTGCCCCGCCTCCGAGCCGCCCATTGGCTGCTTCTGAAGCTATGCCCCACCCCTTCCGGGTGGGGCGGAAACAGAGGCTCCCATCTCCTTCTCGCTGATTGGTGGTATGAAAAATCGGGCCCGTGACGTCAGAGAGCCCGAGCCAATTAGAGCACACGAACGCCCGAATCCAGATCAGAAAGGAGGTGGCCGCGGGACGTGGTAGTCTGACGGTTTCTGGGCGGTCGTGTCCCTCACCCGCCACCGTCACTCCTGTGGTTCCCACGATGCCGATGTACCAGGTAAAGCCCTATCACGAGGGTGGCTCATCTCTCCGCGTTGAGCTCCCCACCTGCATGTACCGGCTCCCGAACGTGCACCGCCCGACCAGCAGCCCGGCGCAGAATGCGGGCCACGTGCAGGTAGGAGCGCGCGGCAACCACCCCGTCCCCCCGCCTTCCCATCCGTTCAGTGCGCAGGCGCCAAGGCCTCCGACCTCTTAGTGCGCAGGCGCCGTGGCTTAGCCAGCGGGGATGCACGAGTAGGGCCCCGGGTCCCTCCAGGCCTGGGTCTTGTATCAGTTTTCTTTTTTCGCTTATAGCTACTTAAACTTTATTCACAGAAAAGTGAATAGCACGTCGATGGCCATTTTAAGAATAACCAGTGTCACCCAGGTTAACACACGTTGTCAGTGCCCCACTTAAATTACCCCAAAGGGCCCGACTTCCGTGATCGTGTCCTGCTTTTCTCTCCTACTGCGCCACCTAAGGATGCATCCCTAAGCCACGTGAATGGAAGCATGCAGTTTGGCGGCTTCTGTCTGGCTGCTGCTTCTAGACGTGATTTCAGGACTCGCCTTGTTGCGTGAAATGCAGTCTTCGTGCTGTCTGCGGGTCTGCTATCCCAGCGCGTTAACTGGAACCCCGCCGCTTGCCCATCCCACTGCTCACGGATGCCGGGTCCGTTGTAAAGCTGCATTGTAAGCTGCTTCATTTTGCAGTGAGTGTTTTTGTACAGGAGCAGGCTTAGGGTATTTCATTAGGGATGGAATTGCCGACTCAGCGGGCAGGTAAGTACTAGATATTGTAAATCGCTTTGCAGAGCGGTTGCCCTGATGTAGGCTCTCACCAGCAGTGTATAAATTTCCCGATGCTGGCATCCTCCCCAAAGCTTATAACTTTGGAAGTCCCCCATCTATAGTAGATGTTGGCAGTGTGGGTAGACAGATAATTAGAAATCCAGCCTGAGCAGAGCAACTGGAAGAATAACTGCTTCTAAATACGTATAGAACAAGTGGATAAACACATATGCCAAGTCATAGCTTAGTCTGAGCAAGAAAAACAACAGCCCAACATTAAAAGGGATGATAAGCAGATTTGAGCATTTCCTTATGCCTCAGATCAAGGGGTGAGATCCAGCTATGCTGGGGCCCTTCGATTATTAATACTAGGGGCCCAGTGCATGAATTCATGCACCTGGTAAGGAACTGTGGGTTGCGAGGCTGCAGTGGGCACAGGGATGGGTCTCAGCCCATCCTCCTTGCCCCCGCCTGGCCCCTCCTGCTGCAGCCCTATTCCATCTGCCGGCAGCCCTGCTCCTGCCGCCACTGCTCGCATGCACTGATGGTGCTGGCTCCGCTCGCACCCTCTGAGGTGCTGAGCGATTGGGGCCGGCAGCGGGTGCAAGAGGTGGTTGCCAGTCCCAATCGCCCCTCAGGAGCAGGGGGAGGTGGAGAAGCCCTGAGGCCCTCGCCAGGCACCGGCAGCAGGTGCAAGCGGCAGCTCCAGTGCTAGCAACGGGTGCGAGTTCCCTGTGTGACTGCGGCGCCCAGGAGCAAAGAATTTTCAGTAACCACCAGAGGCTCACTCCAATGACAGCGACTGGTGCCCTGCCTTGGTCTGGAGCCCCCGCTCACCTGCTTTACCATCCCACCACGGCTGATGCCTGCCATGTTCCACTCGCGTGCACTCTGGTAGTCAGCACACATCATAGCGACCAGTTCGGTTGTTCACTGTTCGGTCTATTTACAGTACCTTATTATTGAAGTGGCATACGGAACTGTTTATTGTTCTTTGTTCCACCCAGAAGTCAATCACCTTATATTTTTGCTGTTTGACCTTAAACAAGAGCATCAGGCAAGGAGAGGGGAGAAGGTGGCAATTCAGCTATAGGGTAAAAAGGAGTTAAACAGATAAGAGAGGAATGTTGCAGATGGAGGGAACAGAATGAGGAAAAGTCCAGTGGCCACTGGGGGCATGGTGTGTTTTAGGAATCCCATGGACTGTATGGCTAGAGACAGAGCAGGAAGAGAATTATGTGAAAGGAGGCAGCCAAAGGGCAAATCATACAAAATCTTCATCAAGCCAGGGTAAGGGCTTTGCTTTTTAGCTTAGGAGGTTAGCCTTGGGGAGGAGGTGACAGGGTCTGCCTCTGTTTTCCTCTCTCTAGCTGCCATCTTGTGGATGGGTGCGAGGTGACCAATGGAAGTAGACCAGGTGAAAAAAACGGTGCCTTGAACTTGGGCAGTGACAGTGGAGCAGGCACGCTTAGAAGCAAGTGAATTTCAGAAAATTGCCAGCACCTGGTGGTGAATTGATCCACATGAGAGGGCAGTGTTAGTGACTAGAACAGTGAGGGCGAACCTTTTGAGCTCAGCGTGTCAGCATTTTGAAAAACCCTAACTTAACTCTGGTGCCCTGTCACGTGTAGAAATTTTTTGATATTTGCAACCATAGTAAAACAAAGATTTATATTTTTGATATTTATTTTATATATTTAAATGCCATTTAACAAAGAAAAATCAACCAAAAAATGAGTACGCGTGTCATAGGTTCACCATCACTGGACTGGGGGAACAGATGTTCCCAAGAATTAAACTTAGCAGCACTCACATGTGAGCAAGTACACTTACACTCCCATTGTATCACGAATGCATATTTATAACTCAAGGTCATTGCCATGTTCCTGACCTTTTTCATTACAAGCATTTAGCTCATGTTTTATTTTCTCAACTCAAAGTGGATGGTCTATTGTGAGAGCTCAGGAATCTGGAGATAGGTAGTACAATGTGACTGTACTGGGAGGCTTCTTGATATTACTTTATAAGTTAAATCTAGATTGACTTGAGATTTATTATAAACATTATTGGTAACTGTGTACCAGTCACTATACCAGGTCAGAAAAGACGCAGAGGTTCGGTGAATGAAGAATGTAAGTGTTCCCTGTTTATACATGTCAGCGGGGAGAAGTTCTAGGTGATTCTGCAGTGAGAGTGCCAGTGCTGCCCTGAGAGTGAATGATTTGGGGAATTGACCATTTGACCCCGGAGAGACTTACAAGCCAAAGAACACTTTTTTTAACCTGTGTGCTCCCTTTTCCCTTCGAGTATAAACTGAGTTATGTTTTCACTGCCCCCCTTTTTCTATTTGTTTAAGCAAAGTGTTTTGATATGAATAAAGAACAAGTTGTATTTATTTCCTATCCTTCTCTGTTCTTAGACTAAATGCCCCGAAGTTAGTCATACAAAGGGGCTTTCAGTCATGTTTTTTATTTATTTTAAAGCATGATGGATCTGTTTGCAGGGCCTATTAGTCTATGGGAGAAATGAGATTCTGCCAGTTCATTTTACTGTTTTTTAAAAGGCGGGAGGTTTGATGAATTTGTGGAACTAAGTAGAAGACAAGTGATCAAATTAAGCAGACTGCTTTGATCGAGGAAATGAACACTCTGGTGTTGGTTTGCTTAGGGAGGGTCTGACCCATCTCTCCAAGCTCTGGAGTCCCGTCAAGATAACATTTTAAAACGTCTGTACGAATTGAAAGCCGCAGTCGATGGTCTCTCCAAGATGATTCAGACGCCAGATGCGGACTTGGATGTAACCAACATAATCCAAGCCGAACAGCGCACCGCTTTATCGGCCAATGCGTTGGACTTAAATTCCGTCCTTGGGAAGGTGAGTGCACTTAAAACTAAAGAATGTCAGCTGCTGGGTGGTTGGTGCGAGTGCGAGTGAGGCCTGGACTCGCTAGTGTTCAGAGGTGGACAGAGCACGTTCTCTTCTCCCCCGCGTGATTGTGCCGCAGCACTGAGTAGGCGCATGAGCTCTGGTGAAGCCACAGCAAATTGTAAAGCTGCTGCTGCTGCCCTCTCAGACCCCTGCTGAAGAGAAGGGAGTGCAGTACAGCTTCTCCCAGTCCCGGCAGCATCCCGCAGCCTGAGCCCTGGAGAAACAGACCTGAAGTCACCCCTCAGTGCTGCTCACGGTCAGCCGTCAACCCCGACTCTGAGAGTAGCTGAATTTCAGGGCTCCGGCTGCACAAAAATCCCACCAATCCTGTTGAAACATCTCAATAAGAGCCAGTCACAGTGCCATATTGCAAGTGTATTTTGCGAAATCCAGTTTGCTTTATTAAAATTAAGTTGTATTGGCCACCTTTAATGATCAGTCTACAGTATTCAGCTAATTTAGGGTATAAAGAGACAGGTAAGGAAAGAATGTCTTATTACAAAGTAATATTGTAGGTATAAAGCAGTGGTTCTCAATCTTCTGGCCCTTTAAATACAGTTCTTCATGTTGTGACCCAACCATAAAATTATTTTCATTGCTACTTTATAACTGTAATGTTGCTACTGTTATGAATCATCATGTAAATATCTGACATGCAGGATGGTCTTAGGCGACCCCTGTGAAAGGGTCGTTCGACCCCCAAAGCGGTCACGACCCACAGGTTGAGAATCGCTGGTGTAAAGGATTTGTCCCAAGAATCCCTGCTAATACTCTCCTGTAGAATTGGCAATAGAAATGGTACTGCTTGGCCGAGACCGGTTTGGTTCAGTGGATAGAGTGTCGGCCTGCGGACTGAGGGGCCCCGGGTTCGATTCCGGTCAGGGGCATGTACCTTGGTTGCAGGCATATCCCCGGTGGGGGATGTGCAGGAGGCGGCTGATCGATGTTTCTCTCTCATCGATGTTTCTAACTCTCTATCTCTCTCCCTTCCTCTCTG